AGAACTCTCCAGACTTTTCCTTATCTGTATCAATCTCTCCCACTGTAGGACCAATGGGAGTCCCTGGTGCACCGGGTCCCCAAGGCATGACAGGCACCCCGGGACCAAAAGGGGATCATGGGCCAATGGGGGAGAAAGGAGCAAAAGGAGAAGTGGGAAACACAGGTAAGTGAAGCAGATTTCACCTCGAGTACCCCTGAAATAGCATTTTTGTAGAAGGAGCTAGCTGTGAAAAAGACTTGGAAGTGTTCGGGACAGGCACAAGCAGGCCCAGAGCTATGAAGGGGCTTTGGGCGGCTCCGCCCTTATGCTGCCCCCAGTCAGCATTATCTGTAGTTTAGTAAAACTGCTCTGTATCTTTAAGACTTGTGCACCTGGGAATTGGAGTCCACGGTTAGGGGTCCCAGAAGCTTCCCTCTGACTGGCTCATTAAGAGTAATTTCCTGAGCTCAGAGGCGCAAAGATAGGAGTTTTATTGTTCTTTTCCGTTTTCTTTGTTCATCAACCCTTACGGCAAGGAGAGGGGAAGCCCACCTCTTCTTTCACCATGGCTATTGAACTAACCTAGATCACAAGATGTAACTTTCCACCCAGCTATCCGGACGATTGTGAGTAAATGATCTTCTGAATGCGTGTGAAGTTGAATAAAGATGATTTAAGCTTTCTTCAGTGGTCGTGCGTTGGCTCACACCTAGAAAGCGCTGGCTCAGCCACAGCTCGCGCTGGACAGGACAGTGAGAAAGAGATGGGCTTCCCCTCTCCTTGCCCCCTTTCTTAAAGGCACAGCCCCCCCCTCAGAATTCCTCCTGTAAATGTTTTTTCCCAATTTTTAAACTTTTTTTTAGAGGTGCACACTCCTTTAAGCAGAGTGGGGGTGACTAATTAGTTGACTAATTTCCACACTGAGCAAGGGGGTTGGAGTAGGTGACCTCTAGGATCCCTTCTAATTCTGTGTCAAGAAACCGGTCTCCTTAAGAAAGTTTTCCTGCCTAAGTGTTACCTTCCTTGACTATAGAAGTCATCCGTCCCCCGTCCCCCCACCCCCCGCCGGTTTATTATCAGAATTTGTTGCTTCGGCTGGCAGAAGTGATTAACTTGCAGCAGCTGCGAACTGTCATCTAAAGTTGTCGACAGCTTGCAATTGAGAGTCCTGTCCTGATAACCGCTCTCTGTTGTTGGCGAAATGGCGTTCCTTTCTGCACTGAGAACTTCAGCCCCACCCCACAGAATCCTGGCTATTGGCCTGGACAAAAGATGGTAGTCCTTTACAAATGCATAATTAACTTGTTTTGTTACAGGTCAGTTCCCAAGTGGCATGGCTAGTGAGCATAGCAATGCAAGAATCCCTCCCTTACTGCTTGCTGCAAATAATGTTAAACAAAAAAAACCCTGTTGATTCCCTGACATGCAGGAGTGCCAACAAATTGCAACTGACGGCAGCCCAGCTAAAGGCTTTTAGTGCAAGTGAGAAGCAGAGGGTGGTTGGCCATTGCCTTCCTCTCCAGAGCCTTCCTTGGTGGTCTCCTATCCAATCACTGACCCTGCTTAGAATCTGACAAGATCGGGTGACACCATACCCAATTCCTTCCCTCCCAGTTATCTATCTTATATTTTGCTAGTAGAAGACACAAACGTAACTGACAGCACAGAGGAGATACTCATCATCAGTGTTCCCTCTAAGCTGAGTCAGTGTGAGCTAGCTCACAGTTTTTTTTATCCTCCGGCTCACACGTTTTTGTCTTAGCTCAGGAAGGGATGGGCTCCAGAGCAAACTAATTTATGCAGGGAGCCAAATCGCTCGCTCACAACTTTAGTGCCAGGAGCTCACAAAGTAGAATATTTGCTCACAAGACTCCACAGCTTAGAGGGAGCACTGCTCATCATTTCCAGCAGTGAAACCGTAAAGCTCCACCAAAGGTATAGTCCAGAGACTGGGGGACACGGGGCACAGGCTAACTTAGAATCCCTGCACACATCAGCATCCTTCTGTGTCAGGCCCAATGTGTGCAGCCCCTAGGGAAGGGTCTGTTGCACATGATATGTACTCAGAATGTCCTGAGGGCAGTCCTCGACATCTCCAGTCAACCATTTCAGGTGGCAGAGCCGGGAAAGACCAATGCATAAGATCCTGGACAACCACTGCTCAGCAGAGTGAATGCCATTGAATGAGATGGACCAACAGTCTGGCTGGCCGTAAGACGACGTCAGTTTTTCAACTAGGTCAATGAGAGATGTAATGAATTTTAATCAAACCATCCACCCCTGAAAGGTTCCTCTGAAATAACGTGTCAAGGGAGTAAACATATAAGGTTGTCAACTCCCACTTGGGGAATCCCTGGAGATTTGGGCAGTGGACCCTAGGAAGGGTAGAGTTTGGGGAGGAGACAGACCTCAGTGGGGTGGGGCACAGACCACAGTGGGGCACAGAGTCCACCTTCCAAAGCAGCCATGTTCTCCAGGGGGGATGCATCTCTGTCATCTGGAGATCAGTTCTAATTCCAGGAGATCTCCAGCCCCCACCTGGAGGTTGGCAACCCTAGAATGCAAAAACCCTTTTAGACATTTTGGGGGGGATTTCGGAGGCACTGCTAAAGTACATGCCACAGTTACTTCTGCACTGATTATAGTCGTTCTCAAAGATCCACATCAACTGCTGAAGGGATTTCCAGCTGTCGTCGTCAACAGAAAGTACACCGCAGATTGTCTATGAAACATGTTCATCTTTCCAACAATGCTAGAGCAAAGGGGATACCTCTTAAAACTTTTGGTCATGTTTTTCATTTATTTCGTTTTGCCTTCACGTCCGCATGAACACGTGAAACTGTGTTCTAATGAATCAGACTTCTGGTCCGTCAAGGTCAGCATTGCCTGCTCTAGTTGGCAGCAGCTCTCCAGGGTCTCAGGCAGGGGCCTTTCACATCACCTCCTGCCCAATCCTTTTCACTGGAGATGCCAGGGGTTGAACGTGGGACCTTTGGCAGGCAAAGAAGATATTCTACTACTGAGCCAGGGTCACATGCAGTGTACTCTCTAAGCTGAGTTTGTGTGAGCTAGCTCTCCGTTTTTTTAGCCTCCAGCTCACACATTTTTGTCTTCGCTCAGGAAGGAGGGCTCCAAAGCAAACTAATTTATGCAGTCGCCAAATTGCTGGCTCACAGCTCCAATGCCAGTTGCTCACAAAGTGGAATTTTTGCTTCACAAGAGGGAGCATCGGTCCCATGTGTTGTCATGAAACCACAGAACCAGACAAGAGATTACAGAATCCAATGGATAATGGAAGCCACTCAATAACTTGGTGATTTGATATCTCACAACAGGATTGCAAGGAGCAACCGGAATGCCGGGCCCAAGGGGGGAGACGGGCTCTCCTGGTCTAAAAGGAGAGAAAGGTTCCATAGGAGAAAAGGGAACACAGGGAGAAAGCGGCCTCACCGGTGAGTAGGTTAATGCTGCTCTTAAATAAAAGAGCTCAGTAACGGTTGGGGATATTTATTTACTACATTTATTTTACTTGCTGAGACTCAAAGCAGATTACACTGTGTAAATCGATACAATCGATGTGAAGAGACATCTAATAAGCAATGTGCTAGGACTAAGATCACAGAAATCGGAATAAACATGGCATATTAGACACGATGCAAAGTACAGATACAATGCAGAAAAATGGTATTACATCAGTAGAAAACAATGCAGTGACAACAGAGTAATACGTGCAGCAAATGCATAGAAAGTCCCATACCCAGTGGTATAGTGGTATAGTATGTCCCCTACACAGTGGTATACATAGTGGTATAGTTCTCTACACAGTGGTATACTGGGATAGTATGTCCCATACACAGTGGTATAGTCAGAGGTCATTTCGGGGGGAATCGTGGGGGATCGCAGTTCCCCCGGGTGAGGTGCGAGGGGGCGGGCACACGACGAAGCCCTGCCCCCTGCTTCCGGCCGCCCCGCTTCCGGCCCTCATTCAGCCAGAAGGAGGCAAGAGAAGAGGGAGGGTAAGTTGCTTCCTCCCCACCTCTCCCCACCCCTGCCTGCCTGGGGCCAGGGAGGGCCTTGGCGGGGCTTCCTCTCACTCCTGTCGGCCTTGCAGGTCCACCATCGGGCCCCTGATGTCAGGGGGTGTGGCATATGCTAATGAGTTATGCTAATGAGTTCCCCTAGCTCTTTTTCTACTAAACTACCCCTGGGTATAGTCCAATACACAGTGGTATAGTCCCATACACAGTGGTATACTGGTATAGTATGTCCCCTATAGTGGCTCAAGTGGTTAAGAAGCTGAACTGCAGGCTGTGGAAGGTCAGTAGTTCAGCAGTTCGAGACTCGGGTGCTGCATGATAGAGTGAGCTCCCCCGTCTCTAGTTCCAGCTCCTGCCAACCTAGCAGTTCGAAAGCAAGACATTGCAAGTAGATCAATAGGTACCACTTTGGTGGGAAGGTAACAGCGTTCTGTGTGCGTTGGTGTTTAGTCATGCCGGCCACATGACCACGGAAACGTCTTCGGACAGCACTGGCTCTTCGGCTTTGAAACGGAGATGAGCACCGCAACCCTAGAGTCGGATTCGACTGGCTTTCGAGCAAGGGAACCTTTACCTTTTTATGACATTTATAGGAACCCCACACACACACACATTCTGCCACAATAGCTTTGTTCATCTGTTTAGAGCCTGAAGGTGCCCTCTGCAAAAGGGCAAGATAATCAACTGCCCATACATGTAGATTCCCCACCTCAAGGAATGGCCTGTGTATTTGATACCAGGAAGGCTCTCACACGTCAGTCATTCCACTTACTTTGCAAAATATGGTTGTTCATGGGAGGAGTGGTGGTCCAGCAGACATGAAGGTGCCAGGGTCCTCTTCACTTCTTACTGGCCCCATTTTGTATTGAGGTGTTCACAACCATGAAACTGGGATTAATTCGAGCAGCATCAAGGAACTATTTGCAAATCAGGTGAAAGTCTAAATGTTTTTGTTTGTTTGTTTTAATTCACACATCCCAGTAATAGGATATCAGGACGTTCAGTGAAATTATCTATTCCATCATCTGATCTGGGGAATGTGGGTTTTTTAATATGCGGAAGCAAAGATTTCTGTAGAAATAGCAGAGGTCATTTCGGGGGGGAAAGCGGGGGAACACAGTTCCCCCGGGTGAGGTGCAGGGGGCGGGGCACATGATGAAGCCCCGCCCACTGCTTCCGGCCGCCCCGCTTCCAGCCCTCATTCAGCCAGGAGGAGGCAGGAGAAGAGGGAGGGTAAGTTGCTTCCTCCCCACCTCTCCCCACCCCTGCCTGCCTGGGGCCAGAGAGGGCCTTGGCGGGGCTTCCTCGCACTCCCGCTGGCCTTGCAGGTCCACCGCCGGGCCCCTGATGTCAGAGGGTGTGGCATATGCTAATGAGTTATGCTAATGAGTTCCCCTAGCTCTTTTTCTACGAAATGACCCCTGAGAAATAGGGCAAATGGTTTCTGATCTTCGATGCAGCAGGGCTAGCCCCACCACAGGGCTAAGTGAGACTACTTTGGGGGTGATTCGAGGACAGCAAATTTTAAATTACTTTGTTTTAATTTTATGGAAATCTCTTTATCTAAAAAACGTTTATAGATCCACTTTTCTTCCGGAAAACTGTGAGACAAGGTGCGTAAGCGCCAATAAAACCAATGCAGCATAACAAATTTGGGTTGCCCATCTATAGCTGAACCAAGTGGAGGCAGCCTTCATTTGGGAAAATATTTGTTAGAATCAAAAATAGATCTCTTCTTGCACCAATTTTGCAAAAGGGGGGGGTGATCACAAAAAGACCTGGGATGTGCAGCATTCCCTTAATTTGAAATAAGTCTGGTTCGACCTTCAGGACAGCATCATCTTGCCAAAACCAATTGGCTACATAATGACATCACCAAATCTCGTATGTGATTGCTGATTGGCTGGGATCACTTTTTTTTTTTTTTGAGGTGCATAAACACGTTACACCGTCTTTCAAATCACAGTCTTCCAATACACAATACACAACAAAAACATAAACTTTAAATTAACAATAAAATAACTAAAACTAATACAACAAATACTACATTAGGGGTTATTAAATTAACCAACTTACTTTCAGGAGATTAAGATAACGATAATTTGTGGACTGTGTATTTCCTTCAAGAATCTCTTCCAATTTGATTAGAATTGGATACCATCTCTCCAAATAATAGGAAGGTCCTAATGAAGGATCTTTATCTGCTAAAGAGTCCGAGATTTTATCCAAAATCAAATGGTCCCAAATTCTAGAGTACCAATTTTTAATTAATGGTTTATGTGTTTCCTTCCAGCATGACGCTATCGTAGTCTTAGCTGCCGTAAAAAGTATCATTATCAGATCTTTCCTAATCTGTGGAATATTAACTTCTTGCCAGTAATTCAATAGTATAATCTCTGGTTTCAATGGAATTTTATAACCAGTTAAATTTTCAACTTGAAGTACTATATCCTGCCAAAACTGCTTGATCACTGTACACTCCCACCAACAATGATAAAAAGTTCCCACATGACCACATTGTTTCCAACACAGTGGAGATATTGACTTGTTTATACAATTCAGTTTCCTTGGTGTCATATACCAACGTGTTAACATTTTAATGTTCTGTTCTTGTATATTAAGAGATTTGGTTTTGTACACATAAGAGGACCAAACCGATTCCCATTGAGTTCTAGTCCATTGGAGATTACAGGCTGGGATCACTTGAAGGGGAGCAAAGGATCAGAGAAAACAGCCGGGAAGAGTAATGAACAAAAATATAAATGGAAGAGTTAGGATTTTATTGAGTGGGGGGTCCCCCCCCCACTGTATTACTTTTGACCCTCAAAGCCAACCTAAGGAATGTTCAGTTCAGTCACCCTGGAACCTCACTGTGAATTTGGACTGCCTGCCTCAGGTCATGTCCGCGTCTTCATTTTCAGAGCAGTCTCGACACCGTCTTTCTTTATGCTGGCGTGATGCTTGTTTCAAAGTGGTACAAGAAATTCTTCCAACTTGGTCAATTCAAGTCTTCATCACTAGGTGGCGCTTTCGGGGGGGGGCTTAGAGTGCATTGTAACCAGATCCAGTTGAGCTGGTGAGATGCTGTCTCAATGTTCCCTCTAAGCTGAGTTAGTGTGAGCTAGCTCACAGTTTTTTAGCCTCTGGCTCACAGATTTTTGTCTTAGCTCAGGAAGGATGGCTCCAGACTAATTTATGCAGTAGTCAAATCGCTCACTCACAACTTTAATGCCAGCAGCTCACACAGTAGAATTTTTGCTCACACGACTCCACAGCTTAGAGGGAACATTGTAAATCACAACGGAGTCGAAACCATAGGGCAATAAAATAACGCAGACAGCAGAAATTATAAAGGTACAGTAGGAGAACGAATCCGAAAGAGATGTAGACATCTTTTTTTGAGAGAGAGCGGGAGTGTCGCCAAAGCAGCAGAAGATATCAATGCAGATTCGGCCTCAGACAGCAAATTTCTTTGTTTAAAAGACCCCTGCATTACTCACTAAACGACCTCCAAGGTCTAAGCAAGTCTCCTCTGAAAACGGGAACACATCTCCCCCGAAGAACAGTGCTTCTCACTTGAAGAGCATTCGGATAAATTGAATTTTGTGTCATATTCTCTGGCTTGCCATTTGTTTTTGCCGGTGTAGCAAAATATGTTGGGGGGCCGTCTTTACATGTCTTCCATCACCTGCTATTATTATCTCGCAACTCATTGTCGCTTTATCATTTCCCAGAGGTCAACCTCATGAAAAAACAAGTCAGCGCTTTGCAAGGACAGCTAACAATGTTGCAAGCCGGTCTCGCCAAGTTCCAAAAAGGTAAACAGCAGAGGGATAACTTCACTTTCATTAATGTTGAGGGGTCAATCCACATTCTTGTCATCATAGAATCACAGAGCTGGAAGGGGCCATATCTAGTCCAGGCTTGTAGCTATGGTGAGGCTTTTGGGGGGTTTGCTCCCTTTCTTAAAGGCACAGCGCCACCAGAATTTCTCCTGCAAATGCTTTTTTTCAATCATTTTAAAATATTTTTAAAGGCTATAGCTGACTCATTCCTGCACTGAGCAAGGGGGTTGGAGTAGGTGACCTCTAGGATCCCTTCTAACTGTGTGCCAAGAAACTGGTCTCCTTTAAGAGAGTTTTTCTGCCTAAGTGTTAGCTTTCTTGGCTACAGAACCCATCACCCCCACCTGCCGTCTCATTATCAGAACTGTGGCTTAGGCTGGCAGAAGTGATTAACTTGCAGCAGCTGAGAACTGTCATCTAAAGTGGTCGACAGCTTGCAGTTTAGAGATCTATCCCGGTAAAAGCTTTCTGTTAGCTAAGTGGCTTTTCCTTCTGCACTGAGAACTTCAGCCCCACTAGGAAACAAGAATTGCCCTGCAAGCCGCAAAATCCTGGCTACGGACCTGATCTAGTCCAACGCCCAGCTTAGTGCAGGATCAGCCTAGAGCATCCCTGACACATCATTTTTTTATCTAGATATCTATACACCACTTTTCCTCCTGAAAGGAGACCCAACATGACTTACCTTCCCTCGTTAATGTTATCCTTACAACAACTCTGTCAGGTGGGCTAGGCTGGAAGGAGATGACTGGCCTGAAGTCACCCAGCAAGTGTCCATAGCAGCGGGGGGCTCTGAAGCTGGATCCCCCCGGTTCGTAGTCTTACCACTGCACCAAGCTGTCTCTATATGATCTGTGTTTCTGAGGAGCCAGGAGGAAGCACACGTAGATACCACAAGAGGTGCTAACTTCTAGGAAGCCCGTCGAAGCCTTATTTCAGCGAATCTTTCATCACACATGATGAAGGCCCTAGTGCGTCCTCCCAAGCAGGGATGAATTGCACAAACGAGCCCTTGATTCATTTTTCTCACAAAGGTCTCACTCTTATATTCTAATAGTCGAGTCTGGCCCAATCTGCAGAGATCTAAATTTGAGGGTTGGGGCCATGCGGACCAAGAACGGATAGTTCTGCAAACTTGGGGGACCCCCCCAGGTTTGCAGAAAAAGCTGAAAATGTAAATGAAATACGTTAGGGGGGGTTAATCTCCCCCCAAAACCAGGAAAATCGTCTGCACCTGTGCAGGCAAAGCTCCAGTACTCCTTCAACAACTCTACTGCAGAGGCAGTGAAGCACAGGTGTGTGGGGGAGGGGCCCCTGCTGCTGAGCTGGTGAAGAGACCAGGTGGGCTGGCGATGTGGCAAACCTGCTGGGTGGGGGGGAGCCGGGCAAGTAGCCGGGCAAGCCGCTAACACGGTGAACCGCCTGGGGGAAGGGGCCGCGTGAGCCACCAAGGCAGCAAATCTTGGGGGAGGGGGGGCCAAGCTGCAGCTACCAAAGTGGCAAAGTTGCCGGGGGGAGGGCAAGTGAGGCTCCCCGAGGCAGCAAAGCTTCCAGGTGAGCCCCCAACAGCTAATGCAGAAAGGAAGAGTGATAAGGTAGAAGAGGCAGAAAGAATGTCGCTGCAGCTCAGTGACTGAGCCTCCGCTTGAGACGCAGACGGTCCCAGGTTCAATCCCCGGCATCCCCGGTTAAAAAGGACCAGGCAGGAGGTGATGTGAAAGGAAGAGTGATAAGGTAGAAGAGGCAGAAAGAAAGTAGCTGCAGCTCAGTGGCTGAGCCTCTGCTTGAGACGCAGAAGGTCCCCGGTTCAATCCCCGGCATTCCCAGTTAAAAAGGACCAGGCAGGAGGTGATGTGAAAGGAAGAGTGATAAGGTAGAAGAGGCAGAAAGAATGTCGCTGCAGCTCAGTGGCTGAGCCTCTGCTTGAGACGCAGAAGGTCCCCGGTTCAATCCCCGGCATCCCCAGTTAAAAAGGACCAGGCAGGAGGTGATGTGAAAGGAAGAGTGATAAGGTAAAAGGCAGAAAGAAAGTAGCTGCAGCTCAGTGGCTGAGCCTTCGCTTGAGACGCAGAAGGTCCCAGGTTCAATCCCCGGCATCCCCTGTTAAAAAGGACCAGGCAGGAGGTGATGTGAAAGACCTCTGAGACGCAGTCAGAGTAGACAATACTGACTTTGATGGACCAAGGGTCTGATTCAGTAGAAGGCAGTTTCATGAGAGGAGTGACAGTAGACATGGGGAAGAGGGGGGAGAGAGAGAGGATCAGGGAAGGCTTGGTGGTAGAACATCTGCTCTGTATCTGAAAAGCCCCAGGGTTCAATCCCCAGCATCTCCAGTTAGAAGGATCAGGGAGCAGGTGATGTGAAAGACTGGAACCTGGGCCCCTGAGACAATAAGGCTGCGATCACACGCGCCTTTAGATCCGACATAGCTGCGAATGCCTGATGGATCTAAAGGGAGTGATCAGACTGCAACATCTGGGAAGCGTCCCGCAGTCATCGACAACCTGTGCTGCTCCACCATGGAAGCGGAGTTAAAAGACACCGGGGAAAGTCCAGCTCTAAATGGGTTCCGATGGGCCACGGATGGACTTTCCCCTGTCTGATCACACAAGCATGCACTCATGCAGAGCTTTTTTTTGTAGAAAAAGCCCAGCAGGAACTCATTAGCACAATAGGCCACACCCAACAACAGAAGCTCATTAGCATATCCAGCCACTCCCATGAGAGCAGAGCTCATTAGCACATTAGGCCGCACCCCCATGTTACCAGAAGTGTCGACATCCAGCCACACCCACCTTTTGCTCCTTATTCTGTTGACCTTGTTTGTTGTCAAAACCCAGGGCCTTTTTTTGTAGCAGGGACTCCTTTGCATGTTAGGCCACACACCCCTAATGTAGCCAATCCTAATGAGTTCCTGCTGTTGGGTGTGGCTTATTATGCTAATGGGTCCCTGCTGGGCGTGGTCAACTCGGGAGCCAGCCGGAACTCCGTTCCTGTGCGTTCCTGCCCAAAAATAGCCCTGCACTCATGCCGTCAGGATGGTCTGATCAGTCCATCCCGATTCGGCGCCGTTTCCCCCCCCTTTGCAGTATGCACATAATCACATACACCACGGGGAACCCTCAGTGCAGAGGTGAAATTCCTCGTTTATGCACATGGGAAACCGACAGCAAGAGAACACCCCTGACTCATCCGCGCTGGCGTCTGAGCACACAGAGTGACAGGCTGTACCCGCAGCACAAAGGGGATGTGTGATCTTGCAACCGTGGGTCAAATTCCTCTGGGGGGAATAGCCCCGCCTCCCCACCGCTCCAAGTGGCGCATGTGACCGCAACCTCATGCTCTGCCTGGCTATAGGGCAGCATCGTGCGTTGACGTTCATATCCCCACACAGCCACACGGCCCTTTCGTGTAGGATGATTATGAGGATAAAAGGGAGGGAGGCTCCTTGGAAGAAGTTCAGGACAAAACACGAGACCGATACAGTTTCCCTCATCCTCTTGGCTTTTCAGCACAACAGTTAATGCAGCCGTATGTCCCCTTTTCCTTTATTCCAGTCGCGGCATTCCCGAGTGGCCAAATTGTGGGCAACAAAGCCTTTGTGACCAGTGGCTACGAAGGCAACTTTGACGACCTGAGGCAAAGGTGTCTGCAAGCGGGCGGCCAACTCGAAAAAAAAACTGAGAATGCTGCCATCCAACAGATAGCTATTATCCACAAGAAGGCCGTGTTTCTCGGGATAAATGACATCCAGACGGAGGGGAGATTCAAGCACCTGAACGGCGATGACGTCACCTACTCCAACTGGCAGCTAGGGGAACCCAACAATGACAAAGGGGCAGAGAACTGTGTGGAGATCTTTGTGAACGGCAAGTGGAACGACAGGTTCTGCGGGGAGAACCGGCTAATACTCTGTGAATTCTAGACCACCTGCCCTGCCATGTTCAATACAGTTGCAGGGAAGACCACACGGTTCTGAAACGACATTTGCCTTTTATGGGTAGACGCTAAAACGATCGTGATTTTGTTAATCCAATTGATAGATATAGTCCAGTCGGTAGACATATGCATGCGTAACGTAGCCGGTAGCAAGTACTCTGATCAAAAAGCAGCTCCATTTTGCTGCCAAGACTTTGATCGCATCTCAATGAAGTATCGCTCTATGGAACTCGCGGAGGGTTCCTGCCCGCCTCCAGAAAAGGGGAAGGGTTCCTTTCCCAACCATGGCCTGAAAGAGCATGGGTCCTTGTCTTGTGAATAATTCAAGAAATTGTTGTAGGCTAACAGTGAGCACTTTATTGTGACTGTGATTTATTGGTGATTATTTAACAAGATGGCGTCATGCCAGACCAACCTCCCAACTACTTTGCCTGGCTTGTCCATACCCCTCACTTAATATCTATCTGGTTGTGTCTTCCATCTCATCTCTTAGAGGCCCCATATCATGACAGAAAGCAGTTGTAGCACTTGTTTCTCTCTCACAAGTGCCATTTCAGGCCTCCTCAACTTCAGTGCATCCAGCAGGATGCAATGGTAGACTCTTTAGCTTTCAGAAACAATGATTGAGGGTTGACATGATAGAGGTTTACAAAATAACACATGGGATAGAGTCCTTTTCTCCCTTTCTCACAGTACAAGACCTCATGGGCAGGGCACTCAGACCCATTTCACACAAGAGCTGCGCTGTGGTCGCGCCTCCCTTTGCCCCGCTTCTATTGGTCAATTTCCCACTTGAAGCCACACTGACCCGCGGCTTCGCCCAATTTCCCCCGCGGTTTTGTGATCCTCAAAAAACAGGATCATGAAACCGCGGGGAAAATTGGGCAAAGCTGCGGGTCAAAATGTGGCCACGCGGCTTTGAGTGGGAAATTGACCAATAGAAGCAGGGCAAAGGGAGGCGCGACCACGGTGCAGCTCTTGTGTGAAATCGGTCTCAATGAAATTAATCAGTGGTAGGCTTAGAACAGATAAAAGGAAGTGCTTCTTCAACCCAAAGAGTAATTAACACATGGCATTCACTGCTGCAGGAAGTGATGGCGGCTACAAGCACAGACAGCTTCAAGAGGGAATTGGATAAACATATGGAGCAGAGGTCCGTGAGTGGCTATTGGAACACTCTGTCTGGGGCAGTGATGCTCTGTATTCTTAGTGCTTGGGGGGCAACAGTGGGAGGGCTTCTGGAGTTCTGGCCCAGCTGGTGGACTTCCCGATGGCACCTGGGTGGTGGCTACTGTGTGACACGGAGTGTTGGACTGGATGGGCAATTGGCCTGATCCAACATGGCTTATGTTCTTACTTTTGAAGTAGGTTGTGGGTACATTTTTTAAATGCCCTCCACGGAAGATAGCTCCCTGATGTTTGAAAAGAAAACCCCAGCATAACAATGACCTACTACATCAGGGATATAGATTCCTCCAAAATTACAGTCTACCATGCCGCTTTGCAGATTGCAGAGTATTATTTTGGCTTTTTAATTCAGGGAATTAATGTGGTTTCCCTACCTGTAATTGGAAGCAGAGAAGACGGGACTCACCGGTAATGACAATAATGCTGGGAAAAGCGGAAGTCAATAATAAAAGAGGAAGACCCAGCATGAGATGAATTGAGGAGTCAAGTCTTGTTGGCTTCGCAGTTGCACGCGTTCCCTCTGCGGTGGGTTTTCCCCTCCAGTTTATTTACTGTCTATTCTGTATGCCTTCTGCATCTACAAGCAAAACCTGCATTTTTTTTTAAGTTAACTGGCTGCCAACCCCTCCCTCCCTCCCTTCGTGATTCTGCAAAGAAAGGGAAGTACGGCGGAAATCCAGGCCCACACATGCAAGACTGACACATTTGGGAGTAGGGAATCCCTTAGTCCTTTATATTTACTGATTCCTTCCTATGCCCTCTCTGGCTTTTTAAAAGTTTTCCTGAGTGGGAGGACACGTCCTCTGATGTCATTGGAGAAGGAGGGAAAGAAAACAGAACAGGGAGGGAGCATCAACCTAAAGAGAGAAAGGCGGAAACGGGGGAGGGGCAGTGGGCAGTTTGATGTAGTGGTTAAGTGTGCGGACTCTAATCTGGGAGAACCAGGTTTGATTCCCCCACTCCTCCATTTGCATTTGGCTGGATTACCTTGGGGAAGCCGTAGTTCTGTCAGAGCTGTCCTTGAAAGAGCAGTTTCTGTCAGAGCTCTCTCAGCCCCACCCACCTCACAGGGTGTCTGTTGGGGGGAGGAGAAGGGAAAGGAGTTTGTAAGCTGCTCTGAGACACCTTTGGGTAGTGAAGGGCGGGGTATACATCCAATCTCCTCCTCCTCTAATCTGGGAGAACTGGGTTTGATTCCCCACTCCTCCACTTGCACCTGCTGATGTGACCTTGGGTCAGTCACAAGCTCTGGCACAGCTGTTCCTGAAAGAGCAGTTTGTGTCAGAGCTCTCTCAGCCCCACCCACCTCACAGGGTGTCTGTTGGGGGGAGGAGAAGGGAAAGGAGTTTGTAAGCTGCTCTGAGACACCTTTGGGTAGTGAAGGGCGGGGTATACATCCAATCTCCTCCTCCTCTAATCTGGGAGAACTGGGTTTGATTCCCCACTCCTCCACTTGCACCTGCTGATGTGACCTTGGGTCAGTCACAAGCTCTGGCACAGCTGTTCCTGAAAGAGCAGTTTGTGTCAGAGCTCTCTCAGCCCCACCCACCTCACAGGGTGTCTGTTGGGGGGAGGAGAAGGGAAAGGAGTTTGTAAGCAGCTCTGAGACTCCCTTGGGTAGTGAAGGGCAGGGTATAAATCCAATCTCCTCCTCCTCCTCCTCTTCTTCTTCTTCAATAGCCGCAGAAACAACTCTACTTTAGAAAGGACTAGCGATTCGAAAGTGGATGAGAACAAAGAATCGCAGGAAGAGGAGTTTTGGTAGCTGTGGGGCAACAGTGTGCTGGAAGCGATCAGAATGCAGACTCCTGTAAAACAAATGCGGAAGCGAGGGAAAGCCCCGACACAAAATTGGAAGTGAAAGCGGGAGGGGATGCAGAACGGACCGATCGGATGCGCTCAGAAGCTGAGGCAAAACACGGGTGCACTCCTCCTCCTCCTCCTCTTCTTCTTCAATAGCCACGGAAACAACTCTACTTTAGAAAGAACTAGCGATTCGAAAGTGGATGAGAACAAAGAATCGCAGGAAGAGGAGTTTTGGTAGCTGTGGGGCAACAGTGTGCTGGAAGCGATCAGAATGCAGACTCCTGTAAAACAAATGCGGAAGCGAAAGCGGGAGGGAATGCAGAATTGGAAGTGAAAGCGGGAGGGGATGCAGAACGGACCGATCGGATGCGCTCAGAAGCTGAGGCAAAACACGGGCGCAGAAAGGGCCTTAGTGAAAGAAACCACAGCCTTCCGTTTCCAAGACCCGAGCAAGGCTAATTCATGGGGTGGCCGTAAGTTAGAAGTGATTGGATGGCACCTGACACACACAGCTGGAAGGGAGGCAGTCCGTTTTACCATCTCATTCTGCATAGATCAGGCCTTCGGTCCTGGGGAGGGGGAGAGATCAGTAGAGGAGCAAGATTCACAAGATTCCACAGCCTGTCCTTAAGCCTAGTCAACAGTAAACTGCAGAAAAGCAGTAGATTTTAAGAGGGCGTTCTTGCTCCCCTTTTTGTCGTTCAGTCGCACAGTCGAGTCCAACTCTTCGCGACCCCATGGACCGCATCACGCCAGGCCCTCCTGCCCTCCGTCATCCTCTGGAGTTTGCACAATTTCATGTCCGTTGCATCGATAACCCTGTCTAACCATCTCATCCTTTGCCATCCCCTTCTTCTTTGACCTTCCATCTTTCCCAGCACCAGGGTCTTCTCCAGTGAATGCTGCCTTCTCATTTAGTCCAGTCACCAGGTGATTTCCTTTCCAAGTCTGAATAAAGTTACTGTCTTACTGTCCTCATTTGGATTTTCTTCTGATGGGCTAAAATAGCTACCTGCATCTCTCTGTTAGGAAAAGAAACATCGATCAGATATGGGAGGGTGGGAAGGAGTATGCAATAGCAGGTGTTGTCAGGAATGCAAATGTAAGCCATGCCATGGTTCAGGCAAAACAAAAGCAAGCTTTGCAACGTACGTGTTAGCCACAATAGCTGTGACAAGTGCCATCTTCTCATTTAGGAGAAACAAGCGGCCCACATCATCAAAGGCACCCATGGTGGTTCTTGGTAATATTTCAAATCAATGTGGTACTTAAGATGTTTCGCTCACCCATAATTCTGCTCCTCCCTTAAATGACTCTACCCATTCTTCCCAGAATGCCTCCATGGCACCACCTCTCTCTCTTCCTTCAAACCCTTGCTAAAAAAAAAATTCTTCCTTTCCATGAAGACTTTGGCCTTACCCATTTTCCTATGGAAGCGAAATGTAAGACTGTGTCACTAAACCACACCTTTCCTGCTATCCTTTGTTTAACTTCCTCCATCTTCCCTATTTCTGTCGACGTATAGAGTGTAAGCTTCTTGGCGCAGGGCGACTCTTCTTATTTATGTTCCTTGCTAGAGTGTCAAGTACATGGATGGGGCCAGGGGTCATTTCCTGCGGGAGCGCACAGGAGCGGAGCTCCGGCAGTAAAGAGCCCAGGGGGCGGGCACATGCAACAAACCCCACCCCCTGCTCCCAGCAGCCCTCAGTCAGAGCAAGAAGCAGCCAGGTAAGCTGCAAAACGTCCCCCCCCCGTCCCCCCCGGTCCAAAACAGTCCAGTGGCACCTTTAAGACCAAGTTTTATTCAGGTACAAGCTCTCCCTCCTCTGTGAGGACAAATCTGCATGTCCCCCCCCCCAATAGCTAGCAATCCAAAACAGTCCAGTGGAGCCTGAGCAGTGGATGTTGCCTTCTGACACACTTCCGGTGATGACAGGGGGTGTGGCATATGCAAATGAGATATGCTAATGAGTTATGCTAATGAGCTCCTGC